AGAAACCTTAAAACAAATCGTTAGTGGTTATATCTGTTTCCATAAAAACCTTCTCCCCATTTGAGGAGTAATGAGCCAAGATGCATTAAACTTCTAAATAAAATCAAATTAAGATAGCATTTAATCGGTTTTAAGCTTTGTGTGTTGTATCTCTCACTTTTGTACATGATACAGCAAACATAACCAATTTAAGGATCAATGGATTCAGAATCTTTTTTGTCCCTTGATGCCGTATGGCAGGTATAAGGAGATAGAGTTGCCAGGTGTCCGGTTTTTGACCGAAATGCCTGGTCGAAAGGGGACCCTGGCGGCTCCGGTCAGCACTGCTGACTGGGCCATTAAAAGTCCAGTTGGTGCGGGGCTGGCAGGCTCCCAACCTGACTCTGCACAGCTCCCCGCAAGCGGTGACATGTCCCTTGGCTCCTAGGCGAAGGGCCGGCCAGGGGGGTTCCGCGCACTGGCCCTGCCTCGAGCGCCAGCTCCGCAGCTCCCATTGGCTGGGAACAGTGGAAGCTGCGGGGGCAGCGCCTTCGGGCAAAGGCAGCGTGCAGAGCTGCATGGCTGTGCCTCCGCCTAGGAGCCGAGGGACATGTCGCCACTTGTGGGGAGCCAGCCGAGGTGAGTGGAGGCCATGTCCCCTCCCACACCCAAACTCGCTACTGGAGCCTGCACACCCTCCCGCACCACAACCCCCTGCCCCAAACCCCTCCTGCACCCAAACTCCCTCCCAGAGCCCAAACCCTGTCCTGCGCCTGAACCCCCGCCCCAGCTGAGAACCCCCTCCTGCACCCAAACTCGCTCCTGGAGTCCACATCCCAAATCCTGTCCTGCGCCCCTGCCCCAGCTCAGAACCCCCTCCCGTGCCCTAGCCTGGATCCCCCTCCTGCACCCTGAACCCCTCTATTCTGGCCCCACCCAGAGCCCGCACCCCCAGCTCAGAGCCCATACCCCCTCCCATACCCCATACCCCATACCCCAACCCCCTGCCTCAGCCTGGAGCCCCCTCCCACACTCCAAATCCCTTGGCCCAGCCTGGAGCTTCCTCCTGCATCCCAAACCCTGAGCGACAGAGGGATGGGGATGGAGTGAGTGGGGGTGGAGCCTCAGAGAAGGGGTGGGGCCTCAGGGAAGGGGGCAGGGAAAGGGTCTTCAGTTTTGTGCAATTAGAAAGTTAGCAACCCTGTAAGGAGAAGGACTGAAAATGGTAACTTTTTCTTATCTGGTAATCAGGTTTCTGTGACCTCCTGTTCCAAGCTGGACAGCTCTCCCCAGAGTTAGTAAAGCAGAGTTTAAGGCTCATTTGTTTTGAATTTCCCCCTTTTTTTTCTCATTAGAACTCTGAACACTATTTTCTAACAATAACAACATTTGGGGAATAAAAAGAGACAAGAAGAAGCAATGTGAAAAATATAGTGTATGTGGACCATTATCCCCAGCTGACTTTAGAGAAGGTAATAAGACCTCATGAGGCACTTCGGCCGGGCTTACCGAGGCTAGGGAGAAAGTGACAAAATCTGTCAAATCAGTGGCAGGGGAAGTTAGTGGCCTAGGACTAGAAAAGATCTTTACTGACATATTCGTATTTAATCAAATAATGAAGTTTCTTTTGGTTTAAAAATAAATAAATAAATGCACACTAATATTCACACCGTGGTAATCTGCTTTCTGTGTTTGTCAGAGGGCATCATGTTTAGTCCAAAAATCAGAGAGTTATAAAACAGCCACAACTGTGTTTTGCAAAGGATTTGGGAGTTTTAAAGTGCTCTGTCTTGGTTATTTAGTTTCCTCTGAAGGCCTTTTGGGGAAGGTGAGGTCTCCATGTATTTTCCTCTGCGTGAGGACAGCAGCAGAGATCTGGAGCAGAATGCCGTGTGGAAAGAATGAAAAGATTTCTTGCAGGAGCTAAGCTGGGGAGAGGCGGGCTCAGTGGAAAGCTATATAAAGAAGATGGAAAAACTGACCCTAGTGCATGGAAGATGGTCGGTTTCAGTTACATGTCATGTAAGCCTGCTGGGCTATGTATGAAACTGAAGCAAGCTTTCTAGGATCACCCTTTGTAAGAGGGAGGGATACCTTACACAATGGCAGGCAGAGACTGAGCTTCAACAAAAAAAAAAGACATGACTGACTCAGAGAAGCATGTGGAATACAGCTTTCCTGCATTACTATCTGCTCTTACTTGGCATGCTAAATATATGTTGGCTTTGAGGAAAGTGAATTAAGAATAGGAAAGTTACTGGCAGGGTTGATCTAGATGACTACACTGTGGCCTCAGTCTGATAAATACCAATTAACTCTTTGTGTGTGTGTGTGTGCATATCTGTTGGATGTTCAGTATAGTCAGTGGGAGCAGTTTTCCACAACATCTTCCAGGAAAGGCACCGTTAGGTAGGGACAGCATTAAGTTGGCCTACAAAACTTTTTAAAATCTTTTCCATGGCCATTAATATATATCCGTATACAGGGACGCAGGGGATTTTTGTTTTGTGAATGAAACTGCTAAATTCCATTTTCAAGAGTTGAGATCCTGGAATTTGATCATTATCTTAAAACCAGTTTCAGAGAACACACTAACTTCATTTCTTTTCACCATTCTTTATTTCATGTTTTACACATATAATGAAGGGAAATACACAAAGAAGCTGGTATAACCTCGGCCAAAGCAACCTGAATGGGGAACTCTTTTGCATTTCACTAACAAATCTGTTTTCCTGTTGCACCTTTGTTCTTTGTTTTTCGTTTGTGGGAAAAACTGTAATCAAATTTGTCTTGTAATGTGCTCCAATACTAGAATAATAGTTCAAGGACTGAAATAGCAGTAAAGACAATCACTCTCCATGCCTCCTTCAAAAGGTGTAGGAGACGTGTCTTGAGTTGTTTAACAAAGGTATTGGCTGTCGGTGTGTTTTGCATTTAGTCCTGAGCACCATCATTCTGTCTGTGAGCGTGAGTTCCATAGTGTAGGTCCAACTCCTCTAAAAGTTCTGCCTCCGGCATTCCAGGAATCTCCCCATGTTGTTCAAGAGTTGTGGCATGTAGCCATTGTGGGAGGTGGCCATGGTTGCCAAGGAAGAAAACATCTCTTGGGCACCTATTGTTGATCCTATGACGGACTTGAATCAGGACTGAGACTTTGAACTATACTTCATGTTCAGTGGGAAGCCAGCGCAGCTTGAGGAGTACTGGTGCAATGTGCTTACATTGACCTATATTCCTAAGCGCACAGGCTGCTGTGTTGTGTATCATTGGGAGCTTTTTCAGAATGTGTCTTCATTCCTAAAGACGAGTTGCAATAATCATGCCAGAGTTCACAAATGTGTACATCTCTGCCTGAGACCAGTAGCTCAAACTACATTTGAGTATACCTTTAAATATCTGCAACTTAAGTGAGAGAACATTTAGAGTACATTACTTTCACACAGAGTACCAGATGCATAGAATGTTGCAGCTGTATTGAGTGCATGTGTGTTAATTACCAAGACACAATGGTGTTGTCTGTTAAACTTCTTTTTCTTAAATCTGCTACTGTTGCATTACTAGCTATACTAATGGTAGCAATGGTGGGATCAGGCAGCTGCTGGCATTTTTGCCAGAATGACATCTAGACTGGCTCTGGTAAGGGTGAAATGACATAGGGGTATAAATGACAGTGCCTTGTCTACACTCATGCCACCGCCATTGTTACTGCTTCTGGAACTGCTCCATTGGTAATACAATGCTGTAAGATCAACAACACAACAAGACTATGCTAGACACAGGCAGCAAAAGGCCAGACTTCAAAATGTTCAGAAAAAGGGTCATTGCAGTTTTCTGAAATGGTTTAGCATAGTTATTGAAGTGGCAGACTCATTTAAAATATCATTTTATGCACTCAATTAAACTATCCAGATAAATTATCTAAAACTATATAAGAGATACCTGACACAATGAGGATGTTAGAATATATTTATGGCAACAGAAGACAAAGTTAAAATATTTAAATAAATTCCCCCCCCCCGCCCGCCCATAAAACAAAAGTCAGTCAACAATTGAACCTTAAACCAATAAGGGAATACATTTATCATACTTCACAAAAAAAGTTTGTTTGAGTGGTGTAAGTAGCACAAACAAAAAAGAATGAAGGCAAACTAAAAATGATCAAGGGCTGCTGTCCTTCTGTTCATCCTCCAAATTATTTCAACATGTCTTGGGAAAGCTGAGATCATTTATATTACCTTTATTTAACTGGAAATGCCTGTCTCCTTTAGAGACGGGTAATGAGCAGTAATGTTTGTTTGTTTTTTTAAATATAGCGCTGGGATGTTTCTGAAGAAGTTTGGGGAATTTTCAAGTATTTAATTGCATTCTTGAATAAGCATATTTTGCTTTTAAAACTGAGTATCAGTTATGATGAGACTCAAGCTTCTAGTAGTTACTCTACATTGATGGTGAAAAAATTATGCAGTTAATGTGATCATACTGTATCATGCTGCAGTATTTAGACAATATGGAGGGGAGAGGAGATACTTTCCATTTTTGAAATCTGTCCCTTTTTTACAATTAGAGATATCCGAGCAGTTATATTATCTTGTTTCAAATAAAAAATAAAATGTTGTTTTATCATGTTGGTACTTTAGAAATCGTTAATATAATACAAGTTGAAAACTAATTTTTCTGAAACAATTTTCTTGGTGAAGAAATGCGTGCATATAATGCTGGGACTATGTATGTCTTTTAAAACATACATTGGAATTTTTTTGTTAACATGTTGCTAGATTCAATATGTTTCAATTTAGTTTTACATGGCTGGGTTAAATATTTTATTGTCCTGAACCAAACTTTCAAAGGTACCCTTTGAAACTTCTCTTTCAAGTCTTCTGTAAATGGTCATGCATCCAATAGGCAAACTGTGCCATGCAATTAAATTAATCGGAGATTGCTTTGGAGGCAGTTTGGTATTTGGGTGGTTATGCTTACATGGCTTTCTTGATGATCTAAAGATTTTTTTTCTTTCCTTCTAGGAGCGAATGCCAGCATGATTGAGATCTGACCAACCGTGTCAATACTTCAGGTGTGGAGGAGGGGCCTAACATAGTTAACATCTGCTGAGCTACCATGGCAGCCCCGTCTGCTTTGGTGCCCTCCTCAATGATGTCGCTACCACAGGTAATTGAGGTGAGTAGACTAATACAAAATTCTGGTAGAGTAGAATTGATCAAACTTGTGTGTGCAAAGGCGTTAAGATTGGATTCCTAATCATTGGCTGGCTTGGTTTCAAGTCATTGATAGAATTCCTCCTAATGTTTTGTACTCTGGATATACTCAGCATTCATTGCATAATGTTATCCTTTTTGTGAAGTGACACTAGTCTGTTGTTAGCTCCAGTACTTTATTAATAGAAGCTAGTTCACAGTCCACTGTTATTTGTGTTTTGGTCACACCTTGAGGTCTCAACTGGGATTAGGGCCCAATTGTTCTAGGCGCAGTCATGTGCACGCACATTCTCTCTATACACACATACACTCTCCATTTGTTGTTGTTAATGAGAAAGCACAGGAAGTCTCTATTGGGCAAAATATTGCTACTAAATTCACATCCGTCGACCAAATATTGCATGAGCTAGCAGGTACTGTACTACCCCTATATTAGAAAAAGAACAATTCAGCCACATGTAGGGTATGTCTAAACTGCAAACAAACCAAAAAAACCCTCAAACAAAAAACCACAGGTTAGTTAACACACTTTTTTTTTTTGCAGTGTACGCACAGTGTAGATATAATCTCTAAACACTCGTGAGTTCATCTCTTTTATGTGTCTTTCTTATCACAGTGCTATTACAAAACTAGGCTCTGATTCTTCATTAAGATCTGGATAGGTAGATCTGTGTGTCTGGATGAATTCCCATTGTGATCAGTGCACCTGCATGAATCTGACTTTAGGACTGGGGTGCTAGTCAATTTAAAATGTGTAATGACTGTAAACCAACTGGCATATAGCTTGTAATATGCTATGTCATCCAGGATCACTGCAAGTGAAAAAAAAATTACTATGTGAGATTTTGAATTGCTGTTATTTGTAGGCTAAAGTAAGGTGTGGTGTTTTGTTTTGTTTTTAACAGCAGGTCTGAACATAAGGAACCAAAATGGCTAATGGGAAGGCTGATTAGGTTGGAACCAAGTCAATTAAAGCAAACTGCAAACTAAACACACAGAGATTTTTCTTTCTGTTTGTTATTTTGTTTGTATTCTCTTTAAACACCTTAAATCTTTAAAACTTAATAAAACTTAAATGTCTTCCAGGCTACCTAGGAAATCCCAATGCTTCACTAAAATATAGTTTTTGTGGAGTATATTATTCTGTCTAGTCAGCAGAGGTGACAAAATTTTTGCTGCAGAGGAGATTGAGACAAACATTTTCAGGGATTTTTTTCTTTTTCTTCTGTGTTGGAAGTAAGGTTGCATACCTCCTGCGGGAGCTGGGTTACATTTAATTTACATAAAAAAATACTGATGCTCTTTTTGAAAACTCAATTTATGGATGCAATAGGATTTCCTCATGTTCAGTGGACAGTTATCTAGGAAATACATTGAGAACACTGGATATATTTATTTTAGAAAGAGCAAATCTAATTCTTCTCTGTCCCACCCCCATCCTTTAATTATGGCCCTGATCCTGCGCGGGAAGGTCCACGGTCCCTTAATCCTGGATGGATTCCCACTGACCTCAGTAGGTCTCTGTGTGGGAACAAGAGTCCACACTTGTAGATCCTTGTCCAGGAGTGGGGCCTACAATTGCACCTGATGGCACTTCCAGAGGTAAAATTCTTTCAGTGTCACCCCAAAAACTAAGGTTGGTAAGGAGATCTTCATAAACATTTTCTGGAGTGGGTAATAGGTGCTTTTTGAAAGTTTTGAAAATTCAGATGAGCTTCCAAAAGTTGTTTGGTGGTTCTAGACGGTCTAATCTTTTTGAAAATTGCCCATCACTAATTTCAACACCGTCAAAGATTCTAATGCTTTCGTAAAGTCTTCTAAATTATCAAAACCTCCTCACTAGAATCCCTTCATAAGCTCCTTCAACCTGCTGAGCTGTCTCAGGTTCTCTGTACACCACCCCTTTTCCCCTTCCAGCATACTGTTACTACAGATAAAAAATGATTAGGTACTTGGGTGCATGGCTTAAGGGATCTTAGTAAAATTTATAGCTGAAGGGTGGTGAATGTTCAGGGCAGTTGGCTCATCCAGAATTGAAACCTGGTACAAGCAATCTCTGCTCTAGGAGGCTGTTCTACACATTAAACAAATCCATTTGTTTTTAATTCCAGTAATTCATATGTTACGGACCAGGGCCGGCTCTGGCTTTTTTGCCGCTCCAGGCAAAAAAGCCTCCCGCCGCCCCTCCCCCCCCCCCCCGCCCGGAGCGCGGCGGGGAGGGCGCCGAGCCCAGCTGCGGGCCACTCTCCCCGACCGGCCGGAGAGCCAGGGGGAGGGCGGAGTGCCTGCCGCGGCTCCGCTCTCCCCGGTGCTCTGGCCACCGGGGGCAGGGCGGAGAGCCTGGCCAGGGCTCCGCACTCCCCGGCGGCCAGAGCGCCGGGAGGAGGGCGGTGAGCTCAGTCGCGGCCCCGCTCTCCCCGGCGGCCGGAGCCGGAACACCACGCCGTGCCACCCCTAGCACAAGCTTGGTGGGCTGGTGCCTGGAACCGGCCCTGTTATGGACTCTCAGATCGTGCCCACTCTTGGCCCCGTGCCATCCATGGGGGGTGCCCCGTTCAGTGAGACAGCCCTTCTCGGGCGTCCACTCTCTCTCGGGGTCAGGCCTCTCCACCTCCTGGAGCTGCATCTCTCTGAGCCTTAGCACGTCTGTCTCTTGCTGTGGGCCCCCTCAGGGAGTCCACTCGCTCTGGACCCCCCGGGCCTCCACCCCCGAAGGGGTTGATGCAACCTTGTTCTCTAGACCGGAGTGACTCTCAGCCAGCGTAAAACAGGAGGATTTATTGAGAGTTGAACACAGCACAGGAAACTCTCAGGGCCTCAGGCCTGGCCTCCCTCAGCCCAGCACATCCCAGTCTCTCTGCATCCAGGTGGGCTCTGCCTGCTCCCCCTTTCCAGCCCAGAGCTCCCCTGCTTCCCAGCTCGGCATCTGAGATCCCCGGCCCCAGGCCCCGGCTCTGTCCATTGTCTTCTCTCCAGGTAAACAGGGCTGTAAACTGGGGCCTCCTCTCCTCGCTTCTGTCCTCTGGCTGGAACCGGCTGGTTAGGTCACTGGGTCCTCACTCTGCAGCCCATTGTCCGCCCACTGGCCAGAACCGGCTACAACTCCTGAGCTGGGTCTCCGGGTCGGGTCGGGGTCTCAGGTCACCGGTCGCTGGGGTATCCATCCTCCAGGCCATTGGCTGGGGTCCCAAGTTCCCTCTCCGGTCCTCTGTAACAACAAACTCCCTCTCCCCTCACCTTGTTAAACCAGTAACACCCAGGGAAACTGAGTCCCACCCCCTCCGCATGCAAACCATTGAAACCCCACTGAAAACAAGGAAAAAACAAGAAAATCTCCCACTTCGTCACATCATAATGTGTTCAGATACTTTAGGCATTTTTATTTTTCCAATACATTTAAAAAAGATATAGTCACATTCCACGTTATGGACTTGTCTTCCTAATTTCAAAATGGTTAGGCCATTTTATTTCTAAAAGTCTTATTGTAAGAATTTTTAATATTCTTATTGGCTACTTTTGCTAGAGTTAATGAATAATGAATAACAGTAGAAATCCTCGAGTGGTACTTTTTTTTACTGAAGATCATCCTACATTAGCCCCAAACAAGTTTCTTTGGATCTATCACATCTTTTAACATGGTATTTAAAGAGTTAGTCGAGATTTAACTGGTATAAAAGATCACAGTTTTTCCATGGTTTTTCTTTGGTACAAGCATAGCTTATCCATAATCTGTCCATACTGTGCATTAATTTTGCAATTGAATTTGAATAGCGTAGCTGAATTCGACGTATCTGATCCGACTTACCCCGCTGTGAGGGCAGCGGCAAATCGACCGCCACGGCTCCCCCGTCAACGGCGCTTACTCCTACCTGGGCTGGTGGAGTACGTGCGTCGATTCGGGGATCGATTATCGCGTCCCGATGAGACGCGATAAATCAATCCCCGAGAGATCGATTTTCTACCGCCGATCTGGGCGGGTAGTGAAGACCAGCCCTAAGAGTTCTTAGAGCAGTTCAGACATGCTAGAAAGGCCGCCGTTCTCTTGTGTTTTTGTTTACATTTCGATTTTTGATTTTGCCAGTCAGAGCTACCTAGTGCTAGATGTAAATGGGGACACACAAATAAATAACTGGAATCGCTCTAAAAGGGAGTCCAGAAGACAGCTTTCATTGTCCTCTCTGCACTTGCCAAACCAGTCTTCAGAAAGCAATTCTCCTCCTTTTGAAATGGAATAAGTTTCTGTTTCCCTTTCCTCTCCACGTATTCCTGCTTCTGCATGGAGGAGACTTGGATTCCCATGCGCTAATGCTATAACTTTTTAAAAGTGTGGCAATGAGTAGGAGGGGGAAAGGGCAGGGAGAATGCAATGATAGCTGATATCGGACCTGTGTATTTTCAATCCCATTTCTAGCAGCCCTCTATTGGCACTGTCGCTTTTCATTGTAAATATTCTTTCAATGTGCTTTTCCCAGTCTCATTATACTGAATAATCTTGTAAGACATGCTGACATGCTGACCTCCTCCTTGCACTCCTTACCCACCATTGTGAAGGTGAAATCCTGTAGTTGAGATATCATGACCTTTAATGTAGGTGATGTGAAATGACTATTTGCTTCAAAAAAGGGGGAAATGCACAGCACTGGGGTTTGCTTCTTCAAAATGTGGCATAGTAGAAAACTCCAGTCACTGACATGTGGCTAAATAGTGGTAGTTCCAGCACCATTGAAAAGGAGATTAATTGAACTCTTTAATTGCAGTACGATCAGTGGAATTACATGCGTCTGACGAAGTGGGTATTCACTCACGAAAGCTTATGCTCCAATACGTCTGTTGGTCTATAAGGTGCCACAGGACTCTTTGTCGCTTGGAATTATATTGACAGTGTTGAAATAAAATGGAACAACAAACATGAGGGGGGGAGAATGTTGATACATTTTTAATTCCAGTAGAAAGTGCTGCTGT